CCTCCTCCACCCCCCACCCCCGGTGGGCTCCGGGAGGGTGCCCCCGGGAAGGGAGGTGTCCAAGAATCCGACGGAGGCCCGTGCCCCCCATGGGGTCCACATCCTCAACACAGACCCAGTGCGCAGGGAGGTCGCCCCCACCTCCAGAGCCACCTGGGAGCGGAGGGCCGTGGAGCCCCCCGACGTTCACGGTCCCAGGCCGCTGGGGCCGAAAGGAGAAGCGGAGAAGTTGGCGGCAGAGCGTGCCCCAGCTGCGCTCGCGGGGAGCGCTGGAGGAACCCCCTCCCAGCCCGGCCCGCCCCGGGTGTTGTTTGTCCATTTGGATGCCGTTCAAGCTGTTGAACGGGGAAAACAGTCCAGCCAACATGCACTGCAGATCGAAGAGGGACGGGAGCAGGGGAAACGTGGATCCCACATACATGGCGTGTTCTTCACGATCTGCAAGTCTAGTCGGCCGTTGTGCAGGGAATAGGCGGGGGGATGACACGAGTCATTTCCAACACGACTCGACAGAAATAGGCAATTCTGTTGGATATGTGTTTTGTTTGAAAAAGTTTCCCATGCAAGCTTGGCGGGGGCGGGGATGTTGCTGGAGAAACTTTGCCCCAAGAAACCTGCGATCCAAAAAATACGATTGATTGAGCAATTCTAGGAATCACAGACAAAATAAGCAGGAACAGAGGGAACATTTGTGTGGGTTTGAATAAAATGATGATATACACGTGGTAGTTTGTTTTGCGTCTGAATTCCACGGCCATTTTATGGTAGCTCCCTGCTTAAGGCTTGCTGACAAAGGAGGATGGTTTTAAAGGATGTCAGCACCGAAGCAGCACAAACGCTGCAGACAAACTCAAAGCTCCTTTCCTAAGGCTTTTGTGGACCAGCATTTATGACCGCTTAATGCCATTTGGCGCCTATTGGAGCAGAAACCAGATGGGCTGCTTTTCGCTCTGTTCAGACTAAACACGTTAATTTTGCCCCAAACAAGACTGGACTACAGATTCTCCAGGAGAGGATGCCTGTTTCTGCCACTCCTTGTGCCATATTGCATGCGCCAGTCACATCTGAACTCTCATTGTGTTGCCGTACTAAGGGGCCTACTGAAAATTCATGGAGAAATTCCACTATCTTTCCATTCTACTTTTCCACACACTTTCTGAAGCCCCTTCGTAAACTCCCCCCCCCCATGTCTTTGCCCCAGTCAAAAAACACCTTTCTTGTCAATTAAAAAAAAAACAAACAGCTTCTTAGTTTTGATACCAATCCTCTTTAGCAAAGCTGTTTTGATCAGCAGCAGGTTCTCTTTAGAAAACCTGATTCTGTTTCATTTATTAGTCCAGTAGGAAAACACCAGCTTTTGGAGAGCTTTAGTGCAAGTGCATTTCGAATGAATTAATACTACTAAACAGCATCTGTCAGCCCAAAGGCTTAAAGGCTTAAAGAAGGAAAGATCGTGAGCTCTGGCCTCTCTCGAGTTAACCAGTGTGTCCCCCAGTACATGGAGACAACCCTTGCTTCATAGGGCTACTGTCAGCATGTAATGAGGAAGCACATGCCTAGTCCCTCTCACTGGCATGGCAACTCTTGGTTTACTTCCCTTTGTTCTCTTCATGCTCACATACGTGATGGGGTGTGCCGGCCGGAAGAACTATTGCGTAGGTTGTATATCAAAATACCTCAGGAACTCTCTCCGGGCATGGTCAGAGGCCATATCCAACTTGGAATAAAGTCAAACAGCTTTTGAATATTATCACAAAGTTAGCTGGGTGGCACCATCCCCACCCTTTGCCCATTGAGCCGATGCCGACACCTAAGAGCCCTGAAGAACAGAGAAGTGCCCCCAGAGGGTTTCCACGGCTGTCACTTCTAGAGGGATCTGTCTACCCCGAGAAGCTGCTGGATTCAGACAGGCCTTTCGCTTGGTAGCAGTGACTCCCTGGGCTTCCAGGCCCTGTAGCTTGCAGCGAGAAAGTATGCATTGAAGTTGGGAAATAAGACCCGTTGTTTGGGTGTGTATTGGTAAGATGCTTAGTTGTGGTTGGGCACTGTTAGTTCGGAATCAGCCACCCTGTGTGCAACAGAATGAAGCACACCGGTTCTGCGCCATCATCACAAGGGCTGCGTCCTTCCTTCTTGTCGAGGGTCGTCCGCTGTCTCTCCGCCCCTCTGCTTTACCAAGCATGATGTCCTTTTCCAGGGACTGGGCATTTCTGATAACATGCCCAAGGTACGTGGGACAAAGACTCGCCACCCTGGCTTGTAAGGAACATGCTAGACAGATGTCTTACGATCTTGGAAATCACAAGGGACAAAACTCTCTAAATTACAGATTTCCACGCATCCTGCTTCTAAAGTTTCTCTGAATCAGTGCTTTTTGCACATCAGAGGGAATCATCATTTTTTGGGGGGTGGGAGGGCACCTCTAATTCCCACAGGCAAGCATGGGATGGATGGATGTATATAAACATGTTCTGTGGGCATCAGATGACTCAGAATCTAGTATACTAAATTGTAATTGAACTCACCTACAAGCCCCAGAGGCAGTGTCTCTGTTTACCTCCGGTCTGACCTCATCTTTTACCGTTGTTCCTGCCTTTCTCACTGTCTACCCACCCTGATCTTCTGCGGTACTCAAACACCTACTGGTCCTTTCCATAGATGCCCTGCCTCTCTCTCATCCTGTCCCCACCCCCGGCACTCAGCTTCATGTCACCTCCTCAGAGAGGTGTCCCTGACCTCTGTCGTCTCATCCACCCCCACATTCGCTGCCACATCCCCAAGCTGTGTCTACATCAAAGCATGCAGTAATGGCTGAATGTGGAACACCCCAGTAATGGCCTGTGTGTGGAGCCCCTTCCAAAAGGGAAGTTTTGCCATGACAGCAGGAACGTGAGCTTTGGGGATCTTTTCCTCTGTTCTTTATTCTAATTTATAATAAAGTAATGAAACTAGTTAGAGGAGGCGCTCGTTGGAATGTTGTTTCTTTCCAAGGACTCCAACTTTTGCCTCGGACTCATTTCATACCTGAAGTCAAAGCATTAAATCATCTCAATTTATTGATGCGAGCTTTTCTGACCCTTGTGCATAATCTGATCATATTACAGAAGGACTTATCTCAAAGGAACTGGGAACATTTTTGTGAGAGTCTAATGAAAAAGGAAGCAAAATTAAAATTAGGCATTATTTCGGTTAAGACTTCTTGTCTTGCAGTTGAGAAGCTTTTAAAAAGGTGCTGCCTGTACGTTGAAGACTCGGATTTTGTAACTGGTTGTTTTCTACATAGAATAACTCATTCCTTTTAGGGATTACTTTAGGTTTTGAGGGCAAATATGGAAAGTGAGTCCCTTAGGAATCGGACCAGTGATGCCTGAGGAGAAAGGTGTAGATGAACAAGGGTGCCACTTTCTGATGGAGAGAAGGATGGATGCCTTGGAGACCAGACCGGAAAGGAGTAGTTGATGTGGAGAAAGCAAGGCGTGCCAGGGAGCTGATCCCCTTCGAGTTTGGAAAGAGCTTGCAGCCGAGAGAGTACACCAGGATTAGTCAGGGACTTGGACCATCTACCACCCACCATCTTATATATAATAACTCCTATCTTAATTGGAGAGGAGCAAAGACCTTCTAACTGACCCCAAACCCCTTTAATTTGCCTTTGTGGTTTCTTTGTTAATATTTAGAACAAATAAGTCTCAAAGATCACCTCTTCTTATGCTGTGCCTGGTTGTTAAAAAATAACAATAATAAGAGAACAGAGAGTTCCATTAGAATTGACTGATAATGTAAAATATTCCTCAGGCTATAACATTTTATTCTTTTTAATATATGGTACTTTTAGGCAGCAGACCTCAGTGGAAACTTTTGGGGTTACGTTAAGTACCATTTAAAAATTTTTCATCAGCCTCCTGAATTTCTGTACATATGAAATTCATAAAGAGATTTATAAAAACCCATAAAGAGTCATTTAGGTGCATAATTAATAAACCCTAGCTTTTGGGACTGCTGTGAAGAAAAGCACTTTGCAGAGAGCTTTGTGGGCAGGTTTTTAATTATAACCGGATTATAGCAAAGAGACTTAGCATACAAGAAGACCTTAGTTCAGCCTTCTGCTGATGAGGCGCATCACCTCAGCCACTTCCCTCACAGGAGTTCCCCCAGTCTCTATGGAAGCCTTGTGCTTCTTGAAGTCGAACTAGAGCCCTTGAGTAGTGCTGAAAGCTTTATGCAGGGGCACACACTCGGACCTCGGACTGACTACGGGAGCAACGGAAGGAACTGCTAAAATTAGTCACCGGAAAAGGAGGGTGGAGAGTAATGAGGAACTAATATTAATGGGTACAAGAATGAATAAAACTGATTGTCATGATGATTGCACAACTTTTAAAAATACCTGTAAGCTGTTGAATTGTATGGTGCATTAATAAATTATATGCAGATAAATTTTTTTAATTAGTCTATGAAGAAAGCAATTAAGTGTTTTAGGGAAATGAGTTGATAGTCTATTTTAAAATGTTTTCTGCATAGTTTGTTTATTGATTATTGTTTGTTTTGTCATATACTGCTTATTTAGTTATTCAATAATAACCTTTGAGTAGCTATAGTTATCACGATCATCATTGTGGTCACTCCTTCTATGAGGGGCGTGTTCTTGCTGTTCTTTCTGCCTGATCCACATAGCATGTGGTACATTCCTTCAGCTCTTTGTTTATATGTCACCTTTACCATTAGATCTTCCCTTTATAAAACTGTCACCCTGTCCCCACCACACTCAGGCTTTGCATTTCTGTTTTCAAAGTGTTTTCCCTATAGCACTCCTCACCAAGAAGGTGCTCAGTGACTCCCACGTGGGCTTGTGGAGCCTGTACCCACCTTGACTAGTACTGATCTACATACCATGTAGACTGTGCCTGACAAGGGTGATTCTCTCTTGCTCTCACTTGGTCTCTGTGAGGGGAGCCCCCTTGACATGTCATGAGACTAAGAAGAATCCTGCCTGGTGAGGAACCAAAGCCTCCTGCCTGTGGACTGCATCACCTCTCCCAAGTCCTAGAAATGAGCCTCCTGAGAAACTACCCCCACTCACCCATCAAGTCTTCAGATGGTTGCCAACCTGGCTCATGTCTTGACAGCAACTGCTTCAAGACTCCCAATTAGGAATCACTGATGGAAGAGCTCACTGCTTCTACGTTATTCACTTGTAACTTGTGTGAGATAATGTTGCTTTAAGTTGCTAATTTGGGAAATAATTTGTCCTATAGCATAGAGTACTAATGTACCATTTAATATTATTCTACTTATTTATCTTGCTTTAATCTACTTCCGTCATCTAAAACATGTACTACAAGAGGTCAGGGGTATTTCTCTTTTTGTTCACTCTCGAGTTCCCAGTACTTAGAACACTTTCCTTACAACACCTCCCAGGGATACATAGAGTCTTCTCATTTCAC